GGCATTGCCAGACAAAACATTTCTAAATCAGTGCTGCCAATAAGAAATATAAGAACACAAACGTTTAGTCATTTAACAAACTTAATTTGAAACGATGGGTACTGCTTGACAACACTTAGATACACATAGATGAAGCCCATGAGCAGAAGGCAAGCCTTTGGCACACTTTGACAGTCATCAAGAACCTCTTTTCCCTCGATGACGACGAACACGACTGTCAGGAGTGAAGCCTTTCTGTGTTGCATTTCCATGGATGACAAGGATCTTCATGACATGTTGAGCATAGTCCTCTTCAATGACTTCTTTGAAATTCAAATTTACTAATGTTCACTTTTACATCTTCGAGTCTGATGTGTTCTCAAAAAATGACGATAGTGGGAGAAACAAACAAAAATATTGAATGTGTTCAAATGCGTCATTATGCATCTATTCTCAGTGTATATGAGCCCAACATAATTTTATATAATATTAGATATCTAAACTTTACCAGGCTGGGTGATTCCAGCATGGGTCTTGGTTCCTGCAACTCCGCCCTTTGTCCCAAGTATCTCCAGAAAGTTGGTCGTGCAATTGGCCAATTTCGACAAAAAGTTTCGCTCCAGATGAACTGTGGTTATTCTTCTGAACTCATTGATCTGAAACAAAAGACAATAAAAAACATGATCAAGATGAGGTACCTTGCTAAAACAATTAATGCAGTAGTCCTCCCAGTATAATGTAATATTCACAGCAACACAAACTACGACTTCAAATGTATATGTCAAGTTAATTAAACTATAACAGTACTAAGTTGATTTTACCTTGTGTCAACTGTTGATGTCAACTTGCTGAGAGTGAACGTCCTTTAATATTCTGAAATATATAGAGAAATTATGTTAAAACATGAACACACAACATTAAATCTGAATTTGGCTTAAATCTTCATATTGATAGTGGGCTTCACAAAACCCAAGTAATTCCCCCTCCCCCTCGTCGACAGAGCGCAGCTGGTCGAGCACCGTGTCCCCAGGCCAACAACCTGTAACCCTGTAGAACCCTGTAAAATCGTGACCAAAACCACCAAAAACATGTCCACAAAATGTCGCGCCGTGAGCCATGTCTGTAATGCTGTCCCTAGTTAGCTAGCATGATAGCCTAACTAGCTAGCACGCTAAACTGAGCAGTTCGCTACTCTTCAGTTTTCACAACTCAAACTTGACCGAAGGCTCAACAGCAACGTAGAGCATTAATTAAACATATAACCTACCCCAATGGCTCCCGTCCATGAAGTTCCTCTCCTCAGGTGAAACGCTACCGGCCTTGTTCAGGTTCTGCTGTTCCGTCGTCTCGTTGAAGAAAGGAGCGCGAAATCTCCTCTGACGTCACCCCCTGAGTACGCGCTATAGGTTGCCAGGTTTTACTCGTATTACCCAAGTACATTTTACTTTGATGTGTCAGATAGTGCATTCAATACAGTAGTTTAGTAGATATTACTTAGTGTGAATGATTAAAATGTACTTATAAAAATGAGGATACATAATTACAAACAAACACCAAGTAACACATTAAATAAAAGGTGATATTTTAAAGTAAAAGCACTGGAATGATAATTTCTTGTAAAATTTACAAAAATAATCGAGGTAATAATTACAGGGCCAAAAAGTCTTTTTTTTTCAGTGTAGAGCACAATAGATCTGACTATAATTACATGTGTGTGTTTTGTTAAATTAATGTGTTGCTTGGGTGTATTCTTATGGCGTGTTTGACTTTTTTGATTTAGCGAGTTGATAACGAGCTTCGTAGGTTAGCAAACACAAATAACCAAAAGATACCCTGAGTATGTTGAACTCTCTTCATGGTACAGGCCCCAGCTCTAAGTCTGAGCCTAAGCTGCATGTGTGCGTTATTGTGGATCATGCGTTCATAATAATAGATTTGATGTTTTATTTCTTTCCCCGGCAGCCAAAGTAAATGTTTTGGAATAACAATCACCATGTTATCACTCAGTTTGATGATCTCATAGAAATATCTGCACTGAACTGAACATCTGAACTTCAATCACAGCAGAGTCCAGGACCTGTCTGCACAATGAGCTGTAAAATAGAAGCTGCATACATTTAGATCGAAGACAAAAACTCATTCACAACCTCGGCACATATTTGCTTTCTGATATTTTCTAAGTAAACCTGCACCTCATTCACATCCAATATGACAAAAGCATTGAGGAATAATTATAGATACATTTTATTTATATAAAGACATGTAATAACAGTTGTTTTCCACACTTGTTGTCCTCAGAGTGTAGATATGTCTGCTGCCAGCTGTCTGCTGACTGAAGATCAGTTTCTGTGCTCCATCTGTCTGGATGTGTTCACTGATCCAGTCGCCATACCATGTGGACACAACTTCTGTAAAACCTGCATCACTCAACACTGGAACGTTAATGTCCAGTCTCAGTGTCCCAACTGTAAAGAGGTTTTCTACACCAGACCTGAGCTGCAGGTCAACACTTTCATCTCTGCGCTGAAGAAGAGAAGCACTGAGGTGGAGCAGCTCTCACGTGCTGAAGACCACCCCCACCTCCTCCAGAGCTTCAGGACCCTGAACACTGCTCCACCCACCAGGAACTGGACAGGAGTCAGAGTCAGTCCACCTTCATATGAGGGGACTGTGAGGAGAACTTTGAATCAGCTGCTCACTGAGGTCGAGCTGAAGAGGGTCCAGCAGTCTGCAGTGGATGTGACTCTTGATCCTGATACAGCACATCCCTGGCTCATCCTGTCTGATGATGGAAAACAAGTTAAACTTGGTGATGTAAAGAAGAATCTTTCAGACAACCCAAAGAGATTTGATTCTTGTGCTTGTGTCTTAGCAAAGCAGAGTTTCTCTTCAGGAAGATTTTACTACGAGGTTCAGGTTAAAGGGAAGCCTAAGTGGGATTTAGGAGTGGCCAGAGAGTCGATCAACAGGAAGGGAAGCATCACAGTGTCTCCTCAGGATGGTTACTGGATGATATGGTTGAGGAATAAGAATGAGTACGAAGCTTGGGCTGACCCTTCAGTCCGTCTCTCTCTGAAGTCTCAGCCTCAGAAGGTGGGGGTGTTTGTGGATTATGAGGAGGGTCTGGTCTCCTTTTATGACGTTGATGCTGCAGCTCTTATCTACTCCTTTACTGGCTGCAGGTTCACTGAGAAACTCTACCCATTCTTTAGTCCATGTCTTAATGCTGGTGGTAAAAACTCTGCTCCTCTGATCATCTCTCCTGTCAATCACACTGAGTAGAACAAACACTTGATGTTCTACAGAGAGACTCTTTCATTTAATGCACACATGTCAAACTCAAGGCCCACGGGCCGAATCGCCACGTCATTTTATGTGGGCCGCAAATCCGGCAGCAAAAAAAAAAAAAAAAAATTATTTTTTTAAATTTTTATTTTGAAAAACAAATTTAAAGTTAGACTGTTTTTTTGTTCGACCGCTTGTTTTTTTTCAAATGGATTAAGTACCAAGATCCACTATGTTGGCACTTTTAAAAATAAGTGAAGCAGTGTACTTTATTATATTGATTGTGTTGTATATATATGTGTCATAGAAAGTTGAGAAAACTTGTAATTTTGATATGTATGTTTGCAAGCAACTGCCCGTTAAAACATTATTCAGTGCCTACTTTGAGAAATACAATTGTATTGCAACATCTCCCATTTGTCTTGTTATGTTTCCAGCCAACCAGGCTGTATATTTTGTTATTTTCCTGAGAGACAGAAGGCGTATATTCTGTTCCTGATTACACATTAACAGCAATGTGAGGGTACTAGGATTATAGGCTTACAATGTATTATGTACAATCAGAAAATCCCCTTTTGATTTGTATTTATTGTTATATATTAGGTCTATTTATATTAGGTCTTTGTGTGAGCATGTAAGCTTAACATCAAATTGACTTCACATGCATTTGAGCAGAGCAGGGAAAGCTGCTGGCCCGTTCACCGTGGGCCATGTGGCGTTTGGCTTCGTTTAAATTTGACATAGATATCAAACTGTTTATGTCAGTTTATTTATTTTTCTGCTCTTTGGAGTCTGCTCTGTGCCGTCGGTATGGTCTTGGTGTTCTTTCATGAAGCATAGGATCTTCTCGATCGTGGCCTCCTGATATTCATGGGACCATCTGTGTCAAGAAAAAGGCACAACAGGCATTTGATGATCAGTTCTCTAATGGATATTTTAAAGATCTGCGAAACATGAATCGCAAACAGTAAAAAGTTAACCCTTGTATAAGCCAACAAAGTATGAATTATATTCACATTAAGTATAAAACATGCTACCTGCATCTCGTGAGTTAAAGGGAAAATACACCTAAATTGTGGGTAAAGTGTCTTTATTCTTTCATCGCTGGGTAACCATCATCACCTCTGAGTTACAGCATTATATTGATGAACAGTAGAGCTGCATTCACATGCTCTGACTCATGAAGACACACATTTTTGCTGAAACGTGCTGAAACATGTTATTCATGTTGCACAGCAGTGGAAAGTTTCACATACAGTCACACAGATGAGTCACACACTGAGCACAGATAGTGAAGAGATAGAACTGCTGCTGTGTAAAGAGAATACTGCTGGTAAAAATAACCTGATTTGTTTAAAGTGTTTACAAACCAAATGTTATTGCCCTTTTGTTCATATAGCAGTATTTTTAAAATAAAAGTGCGCAATACACTACTTTTGAATTCATTGTTGAACTTTGCCATGACAATCCCCGATTAATCCCGTTTAATCGCAAAAAATCCATGCGATTAAAAATTGTAAGCGTTGCCCAGCACTAATAAAAACATATTTAATGAACAGACACTTCAATCATAATTTAGCTGAATGGATAGAGCTCTTTCCCCACGGATGTTTCGGAGGTCTAACCCCAATAATAAGACAAAACAGAGTATATAGTATATAAATATATATATATATACACACACTATATATATATTTTTAAGGTGTGAGGGATTGGGGGTGCGTGAACCCGGTCGGGATGTAGAAGGGGGTGCGTGGCCTAAAACGTTTGGGAACCGCTGCTCTAGAGAAACAGGGAGAAAAAGTAACAGTGACAACACTTCAGAGAAGAATGAAGACAAGAAAATGCACCAGAAGTCTAAAAATATTCTCCCTGGACAACAAACAGGACACTTCCTGCTTTAAAGGACGTATTTAAAGAAATAAGAATATATAAATAAGTGTATAAAGGATGGCTACTTACCATTTGTGTTTGCTCTATTTATATATTCTTTAAGGATGAAAACAAGTCTTTTATAAAGTGCATCGTGTTGTCGGATGACCAGCAGATGGCGACGCAACATCACAGATGAGCACTATAAACATGCTCCGAGTGAAGAGTTTGTCGTAAAAAGTAAATTTCTTTATTGAAACATGTCAGTCAGCAGTTTAAAACATTTTTGCAGCAACATTTTTTATCTACATTTATTTAGTTTTACACAATAAATACAAATAAAATCCACAAAATCTAAAAAAAAAAAAAAGGGCCAAAAAAACGTAAATGTTTGGAAATGTTTCTTCCTTGCAGGACTCAACCGGTGACCGTTGACCCGTCGGAGGGCGTGGAGGCGGGTTTGGTGACGGTGCTCTGGAAGATCTGGTAGCAGGTTTGGTTCTGTCCCGCTTCAACCTCTGCTCGGTACGCCGTCAGACACAAATCCATCCACGGACGCTCACCTGACAAAAACACAAGATCGACAAGATTATATTTAAAAAATATAAAATTATAATAATAACAATGTATGTATATATAATTGAATGACATATATTTAGAAGAAGGAGATGAAAAAGAAGATGAAGAAAGAAGAATAAGATGAAGAAGATCTAAACACTAAAAGTGTTTGTTTTTGTCACTTAAAGTCTCTTATTAGAACAATTTCATCCTTTCAGTGGGAGCCTGAGTGATTTGACTGTTTATCGTCTGCAGCGTTCTCCCTCAAAACCGGACCAATTTCATGACTTCAGGTGTTCTTTTGTTGCTGCAGTTTTACGTCTGTCGTGATGAGGTCGATCCAAACTCGCAAAGTTAAGCGATGTGGTTCCTCAAAAACATTTGTGACTTTAATCTCAGAGGATTTAGCAATTATTTCTCACAGATCTACGACTTTATAATCTAAAAGAACATCCAAGTTTTTTCTCGTACATTCAGACTTTTGTTTCTATGAATACAGAAAGGCTGCGTAGTTTTATTTTATTTATTTAACTTTGGCCCCGTTGAATCCGCGACTTGTTTACGTTTTAACACTTACGCCGATGCAGCCGCGGAGGATTTGACTTGTGTGGCCAACTTGTTGAATATCAAATACAGAACAGCTCCTCACCCGCCATGTTCCTGAAAACAGGAATTTCTTCCACTGCGTACATGTAAATCCGTCCTTACCCCCCCCCCCCCCCCCCGTCTCCTTCTTCTTCTATGTTTTATGGAGGTTGGCATCCATAAGTGCTGAAATACCGATATCTGCTGGACTGCCCTTCACCCCCCACCTATCCCAGCTTTGCCACGATCGATGCAATCATTGATTCATTCTAAGTCATCTCGTCTGAGCAGAGAACAAAAGCTGCTGCTGCTCAAACTAGTTTGTGTTCATCTTGTGTCTAAAACGTAGTTCACGGGTTCTTCTTAATTCACAGAAATGATGATCTGGGAAGTTAAATGTACCAAATGATCAAATTTTTGTGCCAGTCGATGTTGATAAAATGTCAGTGACCAGCTGAAACTCTTCATCCGGACGTACCTGCGCTGCCCCCTGCTGGACAGAGGGAGTCCATTGTTTGTCGGATGCGGTTCTGAGCCTCCTGATTGGCCGCTACGTCCTCCGCCGACACGCCGAAGAACAACTCCTGATGAAAGACACAAACCATCATCATCATTAAACTTAATATCACGGAGCACAAAGTGTTTCAGGTGGTTTCATCACTTTTACTTTTGAGATGTTTATTTGATGTCCTTACTCTCGACACAAAATATCAGAGTTCTGATTTTATTTATCGAAACCTTCTTTCCCTGACCTCGTCACTGAACTTCAGCGCTGTCGGTCCGAACACATCGCTCCATCATTCAGAGGGTTTGAGTTTAATAATGATTTCATTATATCAGACGCAGGGTTTAGATTTCAACATTAAAGAGTGAAACAACACAAACCTGCTTTCTTTCAGCTGGAAACGAATGTTCGTGTGTTTAGAAGTGTTGCTGATGGATTCAGGTCCCAATCTCAACATTTCGGTGCAAACTATTTGAACTCTACATATTGAAACACTATTGCTATTTTAATTAGCTGTTAGCTGATCTGAAGCCAGGGGATGTATATGTTTTTTTAAAGAGATTTTTAAGTCTCGATGGGATATCCTGGTTAAATAAAGACTATTTATATATAATGTTATGATTATTCTGATGCCATTTTATTTCTCAATTAATCACATATTTATAATTAAATGTCAGAAAATACAAAAAACTGCAGTTACAATTTCCAAAAGCTCAAATTGATGCAATAAAGAGTCCAAAAAAGGCCCCTAACTATTGATTGACACAAGACAAAGAATAACAGCACTTCCCCAAAGCTGAGACTAACCTCACAGTCGCAGATTCATTTTAATTACTCGATTACTCGACTAATCGTTTCAGCTCTGAATCACAATTTAAGACATTCGTTCCCATAAGAATGCTGCAGGGACTCACATTATTTTTCTTTTTGATTCTTTAAATTGAAATAACTTCATTAATCCACAGAGATGAAACTGGTTTGGTCATTCAGGTCACAGCAGACGCACTGCAGCCACAGCTGGTGACAGTTTGGTGAAAGTTGAGACTGATCAGCAGCATTTTAAATGCGATCCCAAACTCACGGCGTCTCTCCACAGGAAGACGTCCAGCGTGTCGGTGGCGTCCTGCAGCTCGAGCTTCATCAGCAGGACGAACTGCAGCAGCTGAACGCCGAGAGCTGAGGACCAGAGACGTTAACACTGAGTGATTTATTTCAGAGGAGGGGGGGGTAGATCTGCTGCCAGGAGGCGTTCAGGAGCTTTTACAAAGCTGCTGAATCAGGAGGAAGGAAAATGAGAAAGAGCGAACTGTTCAGGGGTTTTTAACGGAGACAGAGGACTCTTCTTGATGGTGCATTCAAGGACAAGATGTAATAATAGTTATTTTTATAATCCAGTAATTGCAAAATGCCCAACACAATTTCCCAAAGCCCAAGGTGACATCTCCAAATGTCCAAAACTCAGATTAATGTGATATAAAACAGAGAAAAAGCAGAAAATCTTCACATATAAAAGCTTTAACTGATCCTGTGAAGTTAATGTTTCTAGACTGCAAGTGTTTTCCACTGACACGTCCCTAACCCTGACCCATCCAACAGAAACGCTCTCATGTTCGTCTCTGCATCCATCTGCAGCGGCTCTGTACACACATCGCGTCTCAGCTGCGTCTCTAAAGCGTAACAGACACCTGAATTGTCTATTCACGCCTCAAGTCTATTTTTAGGACAATAACATGTAAATCCGAGGTTGACGCCCAATAAAACACTCCTGTTTTACCACAATTAACTACGTTTTTATCTTTATTTTATCATTTCAATTATCAAGCTTCTTTATCGTACTATCTGTATTATTATTATTGTCTGACCTAGTTCTTTGTTTTCATTGCCTCTATCTGACCTATCTATCAGCCTAACAAGCCTATCTGGCTTGTTGGCTCCTTTACTGCGGTTTATCCATTGATTCTGTGTTGTGTAATCGTTATATGAATGTGTAAAGCGTTTATGTTTTATTATTCTATAAAGGTGCAAGATCTGAGATTGGGAGCATTTCGTCTTCCTCTCAAAGGCTCTCAACATGTCGACTGTGGGACGGCGGCTAGAAGCGAACAGCGGCAACAGTGCCGACAGAGCGAACGGCTCTATAATAAAGTCTGAAGGAGCATTTAGGATTATGAGCGGGGAAACAGAGAAACTGGGCAGACAGTCTGGCAGCTCCTTTGCTGCTTTGAAACGCTCGGACCAGACGGAAAAGGAACGGACAGTCGCTGAAGTGTGACGTGAGCGCTGTTGACGTTTGCGGTCTAGATACGGGGTTTGAGGTTTCATTCTGTGCGCATGACATCTGTTGCACTTCTGTCCATCCTGGAGAGGGATCCCTCCTCTGTTGCTCTCCCTGAACGTTAAAGTTTTTTTTTGAGAGGAGTTTTTCCTGTTCTGGCGCAGGCGGCAACCTCCGGTTCTGCCGAGTGAAGCCGATGCTTCATGTGTTAAAGCTGCATTCTCTCTAGTGTCCACCAGGGGGCGACTCCTCTGGTTGTATAGAAGTCTATGAGAAAATGACTCTACTTCTCTCTTGATTTATTACCTCAGTAAACATTGTAAACATGAGTTTATGGTCTCAATCTCTAGTTTCAAGTCTTCTTCAATCGTATGCTGAACAGATTGTAAAGCCCTCTGAGGAAAAGTTGTGATTTTGTGTTATACAGATTAAATTAAGCAGAAGACAACACTGTTTTAGTGCGAGCTGTTTCCTGTGTGCTCTCCAGCTTTGACAGTCACACTAAACTCTCCACTCACCTTCTGCAACAATCTTCTCATCGATCAGCTCGACTCCTTCGGCACACGAAGGTTCCCTCACTGTGACCTCGGAGCACCGCTTACACCTGAAACACAAGAAACCACGAGGAGAACAGAATGAGGAAACAGGGACGATCTAAAGTGAAACCGTTTGTAAAACATCTATCAACATGATTTAAATGGCGTTTATGAAGCTGCAACTGATGATTATAATACTTTAACTGCTGTCACATGGTTTATAAATACTTTGTAAAGCATCTATAAACATCATTTAGACTTTATTTTACAGACAATTTCTTAAAGGTTTACAAAACATTTGGCAATCATACAAACAAACAAATACTTATAGTTCATAAAATGTTACAATAAGTGCAACAATAAACTTAATATAATCAGAATGTTGTGACATGATTAAATAACATACATTATATCACTACTAATAAGGATCATTTCACTGTTAACAGTAGATGAGCCATTGGCTGAATGAGCCGTCAGCATGTTATTTATTACAGAGACAGTATCGTAGGTGGATCGGTGTCTCTGACCCGTAGTATCTCTTCCTGCCTCTGAACAGGAACGGTGCCGACAGGTCGAGCAGAGTCATGCGACCTCCCGATGACGTCACGGGGACGATGTTCTGGTAGCCGGCGGCGAGTCGGCACGTTTCCTCCAGAGTCGAACCTGCAGGACGAAACAAAACCTCCGTCACCAGGTGTCTGAAGTTTTAAACTTTACGACTGAGAATAAACACCGTTCTGGTTTGAGACGTTACCCATGAGGAAGATGAGCTCTCTGGTTTTGTCCTCACACAGGAGCTGCGTGGACAGGTGTACACTCAGAGATCGTCTCGGGAACGTCGGGGAATTTCCGGACCCGAGGACCCGTCCAGAGAGCGCCCACCGCGGGAAGATGCAAGGTTCAGACTCTTGGGACGCCTCGGAGAAGAGACCCGCAACCAGGTCATCGTCTGGGACGTCCTGCCTGAGATCAGAAATCAGACATTTAATTACAGCTTGACACGCGGGATACAAAACACGGGTAATGACAGACATTATACAGGAATGGACAGAAACAGGAGCAATAAGCAATGTTATTGTTTTAATAATATAGAGACAGAAGAGAGAGGGAAGCCTGGGCATTATTATTAAATTATCATAATGAAAGACCAATTTAAAACCCCAAACAACAGAGAAGAAACTCTAAACATTAAATGTATATAAATAAAAAGAAACCAAAAAGAATCACAGTGATGAGTCCTTTAACATTGTGACGCTTTGAATGGCCAGTGTGTGTGCGTGCCTACATCTTGGTGCACTTGCTGCAGTAGAGTTTCAGAGCCTGGTGGAGTCTGTGGGGCTCGTAGGATCTCAGCTGGACTCTGACGTGGTGAACTTGACCCGGATCGGACCGCTTCAGCTCGGACAGCGTCACCGGCTGCGTGTCGTGACCACAGCTTCTCTCTGACACACACACACACACACACACACACACACTCCTACTCTTAGTTCAGAAGGTGTAACGTCATAACCAACATACGGCAGACTTTTGAAGAGTAAATTAAAGACTTTTTAAAACCTTTTAAGGCCTTTTTTCTTCATTATACTTTGATGTATTTAAGACTTTATAAGACCTGCAGATTCACTGCATCACTCGAGGGTCTGTGGATCACCATCCATAAACGTTTAGGACGTCACTGAACAGATTCAGATCATATTTCAGGGTACGAAGCGTCTCATTGCTCCACTGATGAACGTGTACTGTAACTGATCAACGTGTACTGTAACTGATGAACGTGTACTGTAACTGATCAACGTGTACTGTAACTGATCAACGTGTACTGTAACTGATCAACATGTACTGTAACTGATCAACGTGTACTGTAACTGATCAACGTGTACTGTAACTTGACAGCAGACCTGTTGAGCTGCTGCAGCGTGTTGCGTTTCGTACCTGTGCTGCACTCTGTCGTCTCAGCCGCTAAAAACAGAAACACAGGAAACATCAAGGACAGAATAACAGGTACAGGATACACAAATCAATACGAGGTGTAAGTAACACAAACTGTACTCTGCTGAGCTGCCGAAAAACAATCCCCCGATCCGAGGAGCATTTTATTAGAAGGCTTTAAACCCGACAGCGTCTGTGTCTCATCATCACAATCACCACCGATATACGTATATTACTACAGCTTCCAAAGAACTACCCAGAGACTAAAAGCTGATGATAGATTGCACTTTTTATTTAGTTTCTACTGAAATACAGTCGGTCTATTCATGGAAATAGAAGCAAACAATAAACGAGCAGCAAACAAACAAGAGAAAATCAGGACGTACGTTGAATTCACAGTTAAAAACATACTTTGAATCTAAGAGACCTTAGTTTAATTTTATTTAAACGTTAAACTGTTTTGCGATGTTATATTTGAAAGAAACACGAGGTTTTCTGCTCCAGAAACAGATGTTATGTCAGCATAACTTGTTGAAAACGCATTTCCTGTCGTTTGGCCCGTTACACCTCATATCGTTCTATGTGGGCCACAGTGAAAGAGGTTCATCCTGTATAATAAGAATGGTGCATGTCAGGCGCTTTATGTCATGAACTCTTCCTCCCTGCTGACTCCGGTAGCTTTGCTCCTAGAGGACCTGCTTCTGAAGACAAATTGTTGATGCGTGTTGATGAAGAAGCAAACTTCAAAAGAAGAACGTTCGTGCTCTTTACTGCAAAGAAACCGAGTCCCAAATGTTTTATCCGCTCAGATTTTACACAACAGACATCAGGCCGGCAGGTCTGACCGCAGACAAACAGCTGCAGCCTGAAAATAAGAAAAGAGCTCCGTCAGTCTGTCTGTCTGTGTGTCTGTCCGTGTGTGTGTGTCTGTGTGTGTGTCTGTCCGTGTGTGTGTGTGTGTGTCTGTCTGTGTGTGTGTGTGTGTGTGTGTGTGTGTGTGTGTGTGTGTGTGTGTGTGTGTGTCTGTGTGTGTGTGTGTGTGTGTGTGTGTGTGTGTCTGTGTGTGTGTGTGTGTGTGTGTGTCTGTGTGTGTGTGTGTGTCTGTCCGTGTCTGTCTGTGTGTGTGTGTGTCTGTCCGTGTCTGTCTGTGTGT